TTTCGGAATGTCATCAATGCCAGGTGCACGGCGACTTGATCCATGCACCTCCGACAGAACTCCATCCGATGTCAGCACCTTGGCCGTTTGTTGCTTAGGGCATGGATGTCATTGGGCCGATCGAGCCGAAAGCTTCGAATGGGCATAGGTTCATACTGGTAGCAATTGACTATTTCACAAAATGGGTTGAAGCCATCACCCTCAAGTCAGTCACCAAGAAAGCCGTGGTAGACTTTGTGCACTCCAATCTCATTTGCCGCTTTGGCATTCCTGCAATTATTATTACCGACAATGCAGCTAACTTGAACAGTCGCCTGATGGAGGAGGTATGTGAACAATTCAAGATAACGCATAGAAACTCAACTCCCTACCGGCCAAAAGCCAATGGTGCTGTCGAGGCAGCAAATAAGAACATCAAGAAGATTTTGAGAAAGATGATTCAAAGCTCCCGGCAATGGCATGAAAAGTTACCCTTCGCATTACTTGGATATCGCACCACAGTACGTACATCAATTGGAGCAACACCGTACTTGTTAGTTTACGGTACTGAAGCAGTCATACCTGCAGAAGTGGAAATTCCTTCACTCCGGATAATCGTTGAGGCGGAGATTAAGGACAGTGAATGGGTTAAAACCCGACTAGAGCAATTGTCATTAATTGATGAAAAACGGATGGCCGCGATTTGTCACGGACAGCTGTACCAACAAAGAATGGCCCGTGCCTATAATAAGAAAAGTGCGTCCCAGGAATTTTGAAGTGGGACAGCTGGTACTCAGACGCATTCTCCCTCATCATCAGGAAGCAAAAGGGAAGTTTGCCCCTAATTGGAAAGGTCCATACATCATCCGGAAAATATTGCCAAGAGGAGCACTGTATCTGGGAGACATCGAAGGGAATGATCCTGAGACAGCAGTCAACGCAGATGCAGTAAAAAGGTACTACGTCTAATCCTCATTCGGCGATGGCTTTTGTGCAATTGAGATGACGAAGGCTTTCTTTCTCACTATCCAAACACTGTCAATCTTTGTAAACCCCTTTTGAGCCGGTTACCTTTCTTTGGCTACCCTCTTTGGAACCCAGAAGTACGAAAAGAAAAGAAAAAGAAAAGAAAAAGAAAAAAAAAAGAGAAAAAGAAAAAGAAAAAAAAAGAAAAAAAATATATATGAAAAAAAAAAGAGAAAAAAAAACAAAAGAAAAGAAAATATGATGAAAAGAAAAAGGAAAAGAAAAGAAAAACAAAAACAAACAAAAACAAAAACAAAAACAACCAAAAAAAAAAACAAATGTTTCCTGAACTACGTTTGACTTGATCCTGAAAAGGTACGTAGGCAGCCTCTCCCTGAGGTTCAGTCACACCAAAACAAAAATCTCAATTTCCCCAAAAGATGAAACTGGGGCAGATGATATAATGGCTCGGCCATGAATCCGCCGAAATGGTTCCAAAGTTGTAGTTCCGCCCAAAATCCTTTTTACTCCAAAACCTTGTCCAAGTCCTTCTGATCAATTGGCAAAGGCGTGGGAATTGAAAAGCAACATTGTTGGAAGCTAGTATTAGTCCAAATTGAGAGAAATAAAATGAGAGAGTCTTATCGGTGAAAACCTTCGGGCACCATAAGGCGACGGTGAGAAGAGAAATTGAAAATGAGAGAGTCCGTTGGGTGAAAACTCGTAAAGAGCACTAGCGGGCGATGGTGAGAAGAGAAATGAGAGAGGTCAATTAGCGAAAACCCACAAAGGGTGCTGTCGGCCGAAAAGAAGACATCTCGCCACTAAAGGAGTCCTGGCAAGGTTCCCTGGTTTTGAAATACTGATTAATGGGTTCACGAGAAGCCGGAAAGTTTGTGTGGGTCGGGCATCCAGTCCAAGAAGCATGTCATGATCATTTGAAGCCAGCATGCACACCCCAGATAAGTCCTTCTTTTCCCCGAAAGGGGCGCTTCTCTTTAAACTCATATGATTGCCTTTTTGCATACTTCTCTTTGAAACCCTTTCGGTTTAACTCTGATTCCGTAACTAGTACAAAGAAAAGGTGGCAGGACCGGTTTCACAGGGCTCCGCCTGGTCAGAGTCGAAGAAAATACTCAGCCTTAGCGAGTGCATCAGGCCAATCCCGACTGACCATGGTGGTTGATGCTTTCAAAGCGAAAACAGTGGAAAAGAAAGAAAATCAAAGGCAAGGGCAGAATAAAGTGAAAAGGTCAGAGCCTACACGGGCGAGTCATAATGAAATCCTGAAGGCTGAACCCGGTCGGTTTGAAAAGAGATTCACCCTCAAGGCAAACGAGCAACAAAGTTCTCAGCGGAAATGGGGCCGGGATCAAGCAATTGAGATGATCAAGGCCACAAAACCAACCACCGTTTCAAACTAACAAATTGTTCTTTGTTGAAAACAGGTCTAATTCAAAGCAACCGTGCAAAAAGCAGGTGCAGTCCAAAAAGAAATGAAATGCGCAAGCGCTGAAACAGCTTTGCAGCAGGAAAACGACCAAAAAGGAAGTTTCCCCTCCCCAAGCTCTTTCATGTGTTTGCAAAATAAAAGGAAAAACATAAAAGAGGAAAACAAAAGAAGAAGAAAGAAGAAAAGAAATAAAAATGAAAATCCCAAAAGAAAAACAAATCATGGTAGCATAGGTTCCCATTCCTTAAAAATCCCGGCCAAATAACCGAGGAGCTTTTTCTTTCCAAATCCCGGAACAAAAACCGAGGATCTCCCGGCACAAAAACCGTGGAGCTTTTTCTTTTCCAAATCCCGGAACAAAAACCGAGGATCTCCCGGCACAAAAATCGTGGAGCTTTTTTCTTTCAAATCCCGGAACAAAAACCGAGGATC